TTAATGTCAAAAACCGTTTTAATGGACAGATTTATCAATTTTTTAAATTAAGTGTACATATATGATATCTTTTCATATATTTGGACCTTTTCCATTTGTTCACATGTATACTTATTTAAGCAACTAGATTGAGAAATTGTACCTTAGCTTTCATCTTTAATTAATTCTTTATATTGAAATATAGGATGTATCTTTAATTTTATTTTGAAATGTGATACCTTATTTGTGAAATAAATTTTAAATTTCATTTTTATCGTTTGTTACAATAATAATGTAGTAAAATTTGTTAGTTTTATAAATTCTCATTACATAATTATACAATTATGAGCAAATGTCATCTTGCAATTTTGTAATACGAAGTATGTTGTGAACATAGTCTTTGATGATAATAATGTAGGGGTAATTATAATTTTATAAACCACTAACGATTGGAATTGTTTTTGTTGGTCTAAAATGAGACGCTCGTAGGCTTTTAGGAAAGCTACGTGGACACTCACGCATGAATTAGGAAAGTACTAAAATGGAAAGTGCAAAGTAGGTTTGATAGCTAGAGATAGCATCCCTTCTTTTGGAATTCGACTTGCCTTTTATAGGCGTTAACAAATCGTAACCGCTATCAATAATAATGACTAATTAATTACAAAATTAATACGAAATTAAATACATAATTAAACAGTGCATTAATTGCTTGACCGTTACTCTTCCAGGCTGGCATGTCGCTCGGGCTGGAAGACTCTTGGCTGGGCTGGTAGGCATGCTCGAACTTGGGCTTGGGTCTGCTGGCTCAAGTCGTGGGCTTGGGCCAATTAGGATCTGGGCCTAGTTCCATAACTCCATCACGAGTCCCCCACTCCCTTAGTCAAGTTGTAGACTCAGGTAAGATGGAGTAGTCCAAGTCAGCTGCTCTTCTCCAAGATTGGAATATCTCTATCCTTGTCCATGTCGTGGAGATGCCTCATTAAAAACCTTCATTAGGAAAAAACCCAATGGGAAAAAATCCTAATGAAGGGAAAAAGAGTACACCTGACACCTTCAAGATGAAACAAGAGATGAAATCCTCGGCTTTTGTTGCAATGGTCGCCATCTTTGAAGAGGATGGCTAGAATCATTCTTCTCGTCATGCTCGGACTCGTCAGGTTCGTCCTTTGCTTCCTTGAAGACAGTAAGTCCCTCAATCCCCGACTCCTTGAGGCGAGTGTAGTAGAGTCGTCTTCGTTCAGTTGTACCTACACATAAAAGCAACAAGTGTAGAATAGGGCGCTTGGCCTTGGTACTGAACCGCGACTCAATGAGTAAGTGATTCGGACTCACCACTCAAAAAGAGCGGCATCAAGTTCCCAAGTTAGGTCTCAACCCAGCCTTTGAAAGAAAGATTGAATCCGTGAGCAATGCTTCGAACGGATAATCCAACCTCCAAAGAACAAAAGTATGTAAGCCCTTTCGGGAAATGTGAATGCCAATTAAGTGATAAAATTGCTTTAAGGTGTGTGACCCCTAACAAGAGTTTAACTTGCCGCCCGAGGTTAGTTGTTCGAACCTGCAAGTGAAAACTTTGAACGGGTTACTCGTCCCCCGAGGTCGGAGTGTGATGCACTAAGAAGAGGTAAGAGCAAAAAAAGGAAGAGGTAAGAGCACGCAAGAACTCGTATGAAATTAAGAGTGTGTGATATTAACATTTAATTGTCACATCCATAAGACGTAATCCGGTGGCGCGAGTGGTGTGCTCGGCCAATGTATGAGTGTGTGTGCTTACCCGGTGTACGTGAGTGATCAAATTTCACAAGTTCGTTTTTCAATGTTAACATTACACACGCTTAACAAGAGTAAAAGCAATTATGCCACTTTCCTTTGAATCTTTTTACTAAATAATTGTGGGAGGGATTTTTAGCACTCATCTTGTCTTAGCACGTTGAGTTTAGAGTTCCCTCAGAATGGCTCCAGGAGCTCACGCAGCATCTCCCCCTTAGAAATTAGAAATTTAGAATCCTTGATCCAAAAGGTGGAATCTCCCACCCTCAGAGTCCCCCACACCCTGACATGACAGGGCACGTGGGAGGATGTAAATCACGGTGATCGACTCAGTCAACGGAGCAGTAGTAGGCCCATTTTCCCCGTGCACGCTAGAGGTCCAGCCCATTACAGAGGATATGGACTCCACACGGTCGCTGCAGGAACTCGAACTAGGGTTCCCTGATCCAAATTCCCGCCACTCAACCAATTGAGCTACCCGTACGGGTAGAAATTTAGAATCCTCAAATGTTGACTGGTCTACATATCCTTCTCATAGGGTTTGTGCATAGGTATGTTTTTTAGATCTGTACCATTGTTGGCGTGATAGTCGCACCCAAGAGCGTTGTGACTTGCGACCGACGTCTGGCGTCACATGACCGGCGATCCACGACCGACCTCTGACGGAACATAACCGGCGAGCGGTCTCTGACAACACTTGACCAATGAAGATGAGCGGTGTCTGGTGGCGCTGCGAGCGGCAAGGAAGGGGAGCGATCTGCTTGTCATTGTGCTGGTTAGATCTGGCTGCTTCCTCCGGTCAGATGAGTCACAGCTTCGATTTTGGCATGGACCTCGGTTGTGACGGCTATAAAGTGGAGTGACAACATCTACGAGACCTGCAGCTATTACGGCAAGATCTGGGCCCACGGCAGGGAGGTGTGGAGCTATCGCAATGAACTTTAGCCAATAGCACACGCCTGTGGCTACTATTCTGGCTCGGATCTGGAACAAAGACGACGACCTGTGGCGATCTCCCAACGTCGGTGGTGAGGTCTCAGCCAGCGGTATGCACCTCAGCGCACGACAACGGCTGGGACGACCATGATCTGGACCTTCTAGAGCAGCGACATCTTGTTCAGCCCACGGTGCCTGAGGAACTCTGTTTCTACAGTGACGCACAATCCGGTTGGCGCCATCATCTCCGGAAATAGCAATTTTTTGTGTGTATTTTCTGATTAATTCCTGCTAAAGTGATACAAGACACTACATAGGCTTTCAATGAAATTACCAATGTTGGTCCAAAATAGGAAGCTCTTAGGTTTTAGGAAAGCTACGTTAGACACTCAAGCAGGAATTAGAAAAGTACTAAAATGGAAAGTGCAAAGTAGGTTTGATAGCCAGAGATAACATCCCTTTATTTGGAATTCGACTTGCCTTTTATAGGCGTTTACAAATCGTAGCCGTTATCAATAATAATGACTAATTGATAACAACATTAATACGAAATTAAATATATAATTAAGCAGCGTATTAATTGGTTGACCGTTACTTTTTCAGGCTGGCAGGTCGGCTGGGCTGGCAGGTCGGCTGGGCTGGTAGGCTCTCGGTTGGGCTGGTAGGCAGGCCAAGACTTGGGCTTGGGTCTGCTGGCTCAAGTCGTGATTTGGACTCACGGGTTCAAGTCTGGGGCTTGGGCCGATTAGGCTCTGGGCCTAGTTCCATAACTCCATCAGTTTTTTCGATAAGAATTATAATTAGTTACTCCGTAATCCGTATTAGTTATTAGTTATAAATAAATTATAATTACAAAGATATATAGGTGGAAATCTATAAATAATAAGAAGTACAATTCAAAGTTACAAAAAGGGAAAGTATGTCACATGTCATGCTCTAAGCAACTCCTAATTAGACATTTTAAAATACCAACAATTCTATTCCATCCAATTCATATGCTCTACTCCTTCCCACAGAGTATGTATATTACTCTCCCTCCGTCCCGGTGGACTTTGACAAGTGTAAAGTAGATGAGAAATAAGAATAGTAAAAACTGTGTGATTCATATTTGTGCAGAGGAAAGAGAAATGTGCAAAACCACAAATTAATTGCTTTAATAGGAAAGTGACAAAGTTTTTTGGGACAACAAAAGGGGAAGTTGGCAAAATGCAATGGGACGGAGGGAGTACTTTGTATATATATCTGGTTCCTATACTATTATGCTCCTTTGTAGATTATACTACCTAATATCTTTATATAATATAAAGGAATTGGATGAACAATTGGATTTCTCCATCTATTTTTGCCTATTCCGGCATTGAATCATTCTTCAAGTCATAACATTAAATTAAATTATTTATTACTCTATATATATGAAAGCAATGCATACTAAAGTAGATGCTTGAATGTGAGATGCTTGACCAATGTGTGAGACCCAAGATCGAGGTACAATAAATTTTTTACTGAAATTGAGCTACAATAACTTAGTTTATCAATTTTATAATAACATAATCAAAACAGGCATACAATTCAATCAACTACAAGAAATGAAGATATTGTCGTACCACATGTATGCGATCACAAGGGTAAATACACATAAAATTTGAACAAATTAAGGAGTCCATTATCAACGTCAATAATTACTTGAATCCAATTAAAATTCTAGAAAATTATTCAAATTTGTAATTATGTACATAGAATACCTCATCTTTACAATTTATAGATTCAATGCATATGAAAAAGTAGCCCGAATTTACAAAAATTAAGTGGATAAAAATGTAGATAAAAGAATAAAATAGAAAAGTAAAAAATTAGTTTCTTCAATTAAAAAAGACATATTTTTTAGTCAAAAAAGAATTATTTCTCTTATAAAATAAAATTCATTGAGTAACAAATTTATATTAAAAAAAATACTAGGGTGAGCACATCGGTTTCAATTTGGTTTTAATATCAATTCGATTCGGTTTGTTACAGATTCGAATCATACTATGTTTTGGTTTAGTTCAGATTAATTCAGTGTTTACAGATTAAAAAACGATGATAAACTGCACAAGTTAATAGATTTTTTTAAAATATGCAATATTCGTGTCATATGAGAAATAATAAAAAGTTAGGAATTTTGATATATTTTTTGTAACAATTGGAGTACAATTTAAATGTTATGGCACTTTAAAATAAACATGAGATTTTGATCAATTTATTTTCATAATTTATAAATGTACTTTTAAAATTTTAAAAAAAATATTTTGAGTAATTCTTTGTACTACATATATGTGTTGTCACTAATTTCATATGCAATACACCCTTTCTTTCTTTTTTCCCGGAGCAACCACACGAGGTGGGGGAGTCCCGAGGAACATCTCCCTAATTTATTAAATAAAGTTGAAAGGGTACATAATTAAAAGAAAAAGAACAGGGAAAATGAAATGAAAGGGTACAAAAAGCAAAAGCTACGGTGGAAATAAAAGTACATCAATAGTTGAAGTTTTTTGTAGGAATTCTGAGTGATGCTGAGATAGCTCGTTGTATTTGTTGTGAAATCAGATTGGTTTCTAGAGATAGGGCTGGAAGGAGTTTCTGTCCGGGTGATTTTTAATATAGCGCTTGAGAGCATCTGCCAGTTTATGTGGTGAGTCAAACCTTTCATCAACCGGGTATAGATAATAGTCTGCTGCATTTTGAGGTTTTTTGCACTGACTCCTCCTGGTGACCATAGGGTGCGAGGTATATCCCACTTGGTAAAATAGTTGGTAGTCCTTTTCTTCGTCAATTGGGATTAGTGTTGAGCTCGTGTTTTTATTCCTTTTTGTTTTACCGGTTTAAAGCCATCAAGATTCTCTTCTTCATTAGTACCTGAAAAAGAGTGAATAACACTGTGGGTGTCCTCAGATAAGGTATTATCATCACTGGACTACAAGGGGACAAGTATAGTATCAGTACACAAAGGATCAGATACAAGATCATCATGTCCTATAATAGCATCGTTAGTAGCATAGGGATAAGAGACGCTTGTTTGATGAATGACGCCTACGGTTACCATCTTGTTACAGGTAGCCACCGGGGGTTCATCAAACACAATTGCATCAGAAGGGCCTTCTGCATTGGCACCAGGGGGTAACCAGTAAGACAGTCTTGCCAACCTTGGTTTCTGGTGTAACATCACAAGCATCAAACCGGGTGGTAACCAAGTAAGTCAACCGGGCCAACCTTATCTACAGATGTAGTTTCATTGGTATCAACACGGGCAGTAGCATCTGTAGCAAAATCTGAGATAGCAGAGGACTCTAAAGCTTTCAAAACAGAGGTACCACCTAATGAATCAGAAGCAGCAACACAAAGGACTACATCACAGGTTGTAGCAATAGAAGCATCATTTGTAACAATATCAAAGCGGGGAGGTAGGGAGTTGTGCTGGGAGCACATCCATAGTCTGAAACCGGGGCTGAACATTGTCAACCAGTACAACAGAAGCAATGTCTGCACATCCCTGGACAACAAAAGCATCATTTGTAACTATATCAAAGGGGCGGGGAGTAGGGAATTTTTCAGGCAACACCGCAACATAGCCTTAGCCTCAAGGCTATTAGTTCATTTGATGCTACAACTTGGAGTTGAGCACTGTCTAGCACAACAGCAGCATTTTGTGCACATGGGGGCATAATATTAGGTTGCAATGCTAACTCTTGGGGCTGAATAACAGTTTGGGGACAAATTTTTTCATCAATAAATGGGGAAGCATCAATAAGTTTAGCTTCAAACACAGCACTATCAGAAACGTGCATCAAAAGCATCAGAAACATTTTTGGGTCAGAATCAAGAAGAGGGACATAAACATCAACTGGGTCAACTCGGCCAACCTGGGCAATCTGAGAAGCATGTTCCCTAGTTCCAGCACCCTCAGCCAGTTGCATCATAGGATTTGAGACCCGAGAACATTTTCTGCTAGAATGCCCTAACTTAGAACAACAAGAATAGAAGGCTGGTAAATGTTCGTACAGTACTGCTTGAAAAAAATCTGATTCTGCGTTATCAATCCAGATTTTGCGAGGGAGTTCCTTTGAGACATCAATTTCAATCAAAATTCAAGCTGTGGAAGGCTGGAAAAAATTTGCAGTGGGAGCATCAATTTTTAGAGGTTTGCCCAATACACCAGCAATTGAGAACAAATCCTAACATCATGAAGATGGATAGGCAGCCCTTCCAGGGCCACCCAAATGGGACACAATGTGCAATCAGAGTCGTCGGAGTAGAAAGGTGTCCACCTGGTGACTGTCATCGTGGATTCGAAGAAGTCCCAGGTGTTCTTTAGCCAAAATCTCTGAAAATCAAAGTCAGAGCGAAAGTTTACCAGAATCCAGTGCGAGTGGATAAGTCCGACGGAGTAGGGTTGGACAAACCCTAACGCCTCCATTGCTTTGCTTATCACACTGATGGGAGGGCGTTTTTGTAAGAATGTCCCAACTAGAGCGAATCGGAAATTGGAGGAAAGTACCTGTATGTCGTTTCCAGTGAATGAGATAGCCGGAGAACCTCTGAATCTGTCGGGCGTTTTGGCCGGGAGTTCTTTGAAGTCCACATCCGAAAATAGTTGCGGTTGCGAGTGCAGGCGGTGGCCGGAGAGGACATTCCTTACCGCCGCTGCATAGGATGGTGCCCTATTAGCAGTCGCCGATTCGACTCCCTCTGCCGGCGGCATGCCTGCCGCACAGGCATCAGGTAGAGCTTATAGTTGTAGTGTTGTAGTGTTTTTATTCTCTAAATAGAAGTAACTCTTGGGCCGTTCATTCTAGGCAATACACCCTTTCCTGTAGGTAATTATGAGTTAAAAATCTACAACAATTCATTGTTTTATAATTCCATAAGAATCAGTGGAGGTGATTTTTTTATATATGCAACATTGGTGTCATATGAAAAATAGTAAAATGTTAGCAATTTTGATATATTTTTGTAAAAATTGGAGTCTAAATAAAAAATTATAGCAATTTCAAAAAAATGAATGTTATTTTAAAGTGTTAAATTAGATTTTAGTTTTATATTTTCAATATTGGTGTCATATGAAAGATAATAAAAAGATGAATTTGATATATTTTTTGTGACAGTCGGAGTACAAATAAAAAAGTTATAGCACTTTATAAACATCAACTTTGATTTTGGTGGGACCCTGATAAATTGTAATTGAACACGATGAATTTTTCATAATTTATAATTGTATTTTTAAAATTTTAAAAATAATATTTTGAGTAATTCTTTGTAATACATGTACGGTGTGATATATTATGAGTAATAAAGAGCTATTATAAATTAACTTTAGGTACATGTATTCCAAATGTAAAAAAAGTATAGCATTTTTTAGAAACTTATTTTTTATACTTCTTTCTAATAATTTTAAAAATACAATTAAGAATTGTGGAAATTTTGTCGTGTTCGATTAGAATTCAACAAAGTTCTATACATTATTTATGTAAAACATTCTCAATATTCAAACGGGCTCATAGAATAGGGTTATGTTTGACGCTTGGAAATATATGTGTAGATTAATGTCTGAATTAAGTGGTATTGTTTGTGTTAGTCCCTGTTTCTGTAACAGCAATGAATAATCGATCTAACAAGGAAGATTAAACGTTAAAGATGAACACAGAATGAATCACCGTAAAACCTTCTTTGATAAACCGTGGAACGTACAGCAGAATGATAAACCGCGGAACGACGTTCAGCCTTTTCCTAAACCTCGGCTCCCTTTTTATAGGCAAGGTTTAGGTTAGGCGTATCAGGCTTTTGGCCTGTTTAAATGGGCCTAACACTTGGCCTGATTTCTATCTAATTTATGCACTATTTAAATACAAGGATTAAATATAAAGCTAATCTATGACCAACTTGATTCACAATTAAATATCTCCAACAATCTCCCCCTTTGTGATCACGTGCCATTCTCTTATTGCTTCTGTGATTTGAAGTAGTGCTTTCTCAATCCAAGTGCATGTTCATACTGCCTCAGCATATTTCTCTTTTCGAGGCGATCGTCAATGGCCTTTAAAATTGTCTCTACAGTAGAGTGTTCCTTTTGAACATAAGACGATGCCTCTTGAAGATTTTCCTCTAGCTTTGCCTTCATCTGTAGAATCTGCTCTCTGATTATCTTCAGTGTTCCGTCACAGTACTTCTCGATTTCACTGACTACCATCAGACGCTTTTCGTTCTTGTGGTTCAGATAGGTGACTGCTGGCGGTTTGAAGAAGATGTGGTAGGCTGGGAAATCTTCAAGTTCTGGACCATACAGTTTTGGCTTCGTCAGATTTGTCTTCTTCAGATTGCATTCAATAGCCATCTGTAGGTCATGTGAAGAGTGTACTCGGATCTGTCTAAGCATGAATCTCTTGATAGCTGCGAGGCCTTCGCTGTATACTATGCTCTGCCTGACTGGAAGGTATCTGTAGGCCATGAGCATTTGGTAGATGTCATCCGGTTTCAGCATGATGAAGTCGTTCTCTTGACAAGTGAATTCGCTCCCATCGGTGCGTTGAAGTCTGAAAGTGTAGAATGTTACTCCATGATAGTCTTCAGCCTTCACTTGTAGAATTTGATGAATCGGGAGAATATTCGACTTCAGATCTTGTTCCATTAGTTCTCTCTGTGTACCGGTTGACCTTTGCAGCAACATATGCAGATGACCTCCAGCCTGCTTTCCTTTCAAGTGAGTAAGGCCTCTTAGCTTCAGTTCGTTCAGTGGCTTGACTTTGTCTGGTCTACGCCAGATATGCTCTCTGATTTCTTCTTGGAAGGGGGCTTTGATACGAACATTATCCCAGGGTTTCTCTGTCTTGGGAAGTCTTCCCGCTGTTTGTCTTATGACTGATTCAAGAGTCTTCTGGGATTCCTTATAATTCTCCTCTTCCTTGCGTTCATCGTCCTCGAGCCGTATAATATCTTCAGAGCATTTGTTGATCAGCTCTCGTAGCCACCAGTTTCTTTGCATGTCTTCTTGCTCGGCTTCAACCCGGAGATCATCCCATTCTGTCCATTTTCTCGGCCATTTGTCGTATATCACCGCCTCTTCCAGTGCATCATGGATGTCTTTGCCTGGGGAAATATACGGAGTTCTTTGTTCAGGCGGTGATTGTTCCTGTGTAGCACTACCGGGTTCACAAGGATTGCCCGTTGACATCAGCTTAGAACTGGGTTCCAACTGATGGCCTGATGGAGAAGATGTACCAGTGGTAACATCATCAGGACTTCCATCCCCTCCTCGGTTGGTATCTCTGGGAGATACGCCTCGGGATGTTATTTCTAGCTCGACCATGCTAGATAGTTTGGCTGTGGATGGTGGCTGTTGGTTTGTTGAGGTTTCGGGTTGAATTGGCTGTGGAGTTTGGCTTGGTAGAGCAGTTTGCTCAAGTGATCGAGGTCGCTTGTTCTCCCCCTCATGAGGATCCGAATCATCGGGGTCCTCATGGGAACGTTTGCGACCACGAAGACTCTCCTTGCAAGTACTCTTGGTTTCAGGTGAGGAAAGAAGAGCTTCTAGTATGGCTTGCTGATGAAGAGTGAGGTTGTCTTCTGGGGTATTTAAGAGATTGTTCAGCAAAGCCGAAGCTAGTGTGTCAAAGGATAGGGAGGAGAGATCGATGGAGGGTGTGGTCGGGTGTGGGGAGAATACTGGTTCTGTATTCTGGGTTCCCCGAGAAATAGAAGGGATGGGAATTTGGTTTATGGATTGGTGGGATAGAGGGGTGGAGGATATGGGTTGTGTATGGGAGATGAACGGTTCAGGGGAAGGTTGGGGTGGTGTCTGTTCAGACCGAACCGCTTGGGTGGTCCTAAATTCCTGTGCTAGAGCGGTCATTGCATCTTGCACCCATGGTTTAATGGTGGAATCTAGGAAGCGATTTAGTAGAACGTTTACGTCTTCAAAGGTAGGGTGACCAGTTACGGGGGTTATAACTGTTGACACAGCATCAGTGAAGATTGCTGATGTGTGGCCTGCATTTAATGATGGAATCATTATGGGCGTAGCAGGGCTTCCAACCGTCATAGCTTGCGCTCTGGTTATTGCGTTCAGGGTGAGTGCACCTGTATGTGCAGTGAATAGTGTAGGTGTCCTAGAAAAGGAAGAAAATGTGGGAAATGTGACACCTAGACTCGATGTGAGTGAAGAGGGGGTTTTGACCTCGGGAGATAGGTCAATTGTATGCTCAACTGATTCAGAAGGAACCAGCGAGGGGGTTGAGTCCCGTTCTTTTGAAACAATAGCCTTTTGAGAGGCAATTGAGTGGCTGGGAGAGGGCTGTGCATGCGCAGTTGAGCCAGATGCTGCGACTTCTACTCGGGAACCGAAAAGATCGGCTCCTGTGCTTAAGGATTCAGCTCGGCTTATCTGGATAAAGGAGTCGCAGCCCGAGAAGATGTGCTCGTCTGCCTTATCAAACAGACTCTTTCTGGCTTGGGGCTGGGTCTTAGCCTTGGTAGCCTTGTCATTTTTGACCTTAGCCCTGGTCTCTCGGATGACAACTTCTTCCTGGTTGATTGATGTCTTGATGGAGTGAGCTGCCTCGTCGTAATCATCCTTGGAGCAATTAGTCTCGCTCGGATCAGCTCTTGGTTTAGCTTTTTCTTTTATGGTGAAGACTTGAGGTCTGCGAGCTATGATTGGTGCTGCGTCTTCAGCAGTGATTCTTCTCTTCTTTAGAGATTCGATGGGCAGCTTCCCTTTTCTGATCAGTGCATATGTGAGCTCCACATCATCACTATCGTTGTCATCACTGTCATCATCCGAGTCAGATTTTTCACTCTCCTTGCCCACGCTCTCGGAAGCCTCGTCGTCAGTATTCGTTTGGGCTTCACTCGACGATTCATTGGCCGTATCCTCAGCGTCTTTTTCGGTGCCCTCAGCCGCCTGACTCGTCTCTAGAGAGTCGTCAGACTTCCCTTCATTGGGCAAACCGGCCACTGGTTTCTGTGGCTTTTGGGCTCTCTTAGGACCCTTACTTACACTCGGCTTTGTCCCTTGGGTAGGTCCAGCTGGGTTTTGCTGAACCATAGGGACGGTTTTCTCGGTGGCTTCTTTGTATTGTTGGACTGCTGGATTTGAAGATTTTACCAGCTTTAGCAGAAATCCAGGTATCTTCAGACCGTAAGAAGGATTCTTGTCTGCTTTGAAGTACTGTAGCTTCGGTGCTGTGAAGTGAGGATCTGTACTGCGTCTTGGTATTGTTGAATGCTCTGCCATGAGGTCGTTGATGATCAACCCAAGCCACCTAGCGTACGGAATGGTACCTGGCCTATTCTTTTCTTTGGCCTTGACCAGGTCCATTAGCTCTGAGTAGAAGAGCTGAGCCAGATCGTAGTTCTTGTTGAACGCGATGCCATAAACGGGCTCGAGCCAGATCGTACCTGACCTATTCTTTTCTTGTTGAACTTTTTAGATCAGTGGAGACATAATTAAACGGGCTCGAGGTTCAACATGCCCAACTTAGAGACTAGGAACTGGAATCGTTTTTCATCCAATGCCTTAGTGAACAAGTCAGCCAGTTGAAGCTCTGAGCTTACAAAATACATGTCAATGTCTCCTTTCTCCACATGATCTTTGATGAAATGATAGCGCATGTCGATGTGTTTGGTGCGGGAGTGATGAACTGGGTTGCTGGTGATGGCTATGGCGCTTTGAGAGTCACTGTAGATCGGGATATGGCGGAGTGTGTAACCGTAGTCCTTTAGCTGGGTCTTCATCCATAAAATTTGTGAACAACAGCTAGCAGCCGC